AACCTTGATTGATTAAGTTTCACTGTAGGTGCAATGCACATTAGTAAAGATATCATCTTTCTTGCATAGTCTAGTGTCGCATTGTTTGCCGACAACTAGTCCATACCAACCACTACATCAATCTCAATCATGGGTAGGCAGATCAAATCAATGGTGGTTGATCTATTTTCAAATCTCAAATCAATACTTAAACAAGTGTGGTAGGTTTTAATAGAAATTTCCACTGACATAGACACATTAATCACATATAGTAGGGTAATAAACAATTTCAACCTTAACACACAGTCATCAGAAATATAAGAATGGGTAGCACTTGAATCAAACAAAGCATCTATATTGCAGTTGTATGGAAAGATTTTACTTCTAATCAAATTTGGAGATGTACTTGCCTCCTCCTGGGACAACACGAATGCCCTGCTAGGAACAGTTGATCTCTACTATGTGGTACCCACTCTACCCTCATCATATTATCTAGCAATGTGCCTCATCTTGTCACACTTGAAGCAAGCCCAATATTTCCCCATATAGTATCTCCCACACTTCAAACACTAAGGGGTTTTGGCCGTGCTAAGTGTCGGTACAAGCATTATAGAAGCTTACTTAGACAGTTGTGCACCACTGGCATTGTTCTTTAGCCTACTACTCCTTTGGAAAGAACCTTAGGACATTGATTCTTTCTGGATGGCCTTTTTCTCCCCAAAGCTAAAACTAAATCTCTTACTGACTCCATCAGTACGGCTAAGCGACTATGAAAATCTGTCTTGACTATCCCTTCTCTTTTCAATCTCTGCCTCTTTGCCCTTTTTTGCAGCTATTCTCAACTTATTGCACATCTCATCATAAGATGTGATCTTAAACAAAGCTAACTGCTGTTTGTACTCAAGCCTCATCTTTTTAAGGAGTCTCTTAGCCTTTCATTTTGAGTCATCATTTCCCATGAGATAAGTAGAGTATTTTTGACAACTAATTGAACTTAACGATAAAAGCTTCTTCATCAAGATTTCTCTACTTGAATTCATGAAATTCAGCCTCTTTCTTTGCTTTAAAGGCCACTGGGAAGTAAAAGTTGAAAAACCTCACTTTGAACTCATCCCAGGTCTACTTAACTCCACCCATTGGTCTCACCGACTTCCACCATTGTTTGGCCTTTTTTACAAACAACACGGAGGTCAAAGTCACTTTCTAATACTCTGAGCATGGCACTACCTTAAATATTGTCTCTATCCTTTCAATCCACTCCTCGACTTCACCCTCCTTAACCACCCACGCATCGGGCCCAGCTTTCTCTAAGGTAGTACTTGGGTTTTTCCTCACCCTACTAAAGAGGTCTTTTGGAGCTTTTCCAAACTCGAACCACTTTAAGGAAAGTTAGACCCGTTGCATGAGTGGTTAAGGCTCTAGTTCAAAAGATCCCCGAGAGAGTGGGGTGAGGATTGTTACATAAAATTAGAGTAGTGCAATGGAAGCATGGTGGGCCCATAACCCACAAGTCCCAAGATCGAAACCTGGCTCTGATATCAATTTGTAATGGGTGTTCTAAATTAGGACTTAGATCAGTACACTAACTAATCAAGGACTAACCTAAAAGGATTATTTTATAAGAGATTAACCTAGACAAATTCTTAACATGTATTTTCATAACGATTCAAAACAAATGGATTCTAAATCTTTAAAATATTTCAATAACTCATATTATTCAATTAAACATATGCCGAAGTATGATAAAGGAAACACATCTCAATATGGGAGAAAAGCTTCCCCTTTTATTTTCTCTCTATGCCTTACTCCACAAAAAAAAAAAAATATATATATATATATATTTACAACATAACACTTGACACTCAAACCCTTCTATAACTAGCAGCGGGGGGCCAAGGTCTCAATCACATTTATCACAATAATTATTACCTAGTGATCATACTCCATATATAATTTATTCATCAATAGTCCATCATATGCATGAATTTTCCTTTTCATTCACATATAATTAATATCAACTATTCACCCTTGGATATCAAAAACATAAGGGGAGACCATAACAATATTCAAGTTATCAAATTAAGCAGATAATAATTATTTTCACTTGCATAAATATTTTGACCCATTAATATAAACATAAGCATCAAACCACATTCCCAAGGGCTCAGAATACATTTTCACCCAACACAAAACCCATAATGCAAGTGGATTAAGAATATATTTTTCTAGTTGGCAATATTGTAAACTAAAAACACATCAAAATAAAAAGAGAAAGGCATACAGAAGTGATTATTATCACTTGGGCTAATGCTCTTTTCCTCTATTCTTCCCAAATGAGCTAGCTCTGTAATATGTTAAAAGAGATGGGTGAGTACAATCACTCAGTAACTAAGGTACATCTGAGTTATACAAATGCATGATAATTAATCATGAATGCAAGTGACTAATAAATTCATCAAGATAACCATGTAGACAATCATATCAAGAACATGTTAATCACATAAACGTCTAACTCATATGAATAATCTCAAGAATAAAATTGAGTACAAATTGGCACGATTGCACACAAATATTAACTGTTTGTACAAAATTGGCACAAATTGCCACATATACATTATTCACATGTTTACCACATGTTCTCATTTCTACAATTATAATCATATTCTCAAACATAGCTATCAATCACTCAAATGGCATGATGATAACAATATGCATGATTAATTTCTTCATTGTATTTTTCCTTATTTCCTTTGACATGAAATCTGTGAGCCAACAATCGAAAGGGATCATTCATATGGTGAGACTACCCAAGCCCTTAATTATATCGTGAGGGGCTACCGGTCAGGGTTACCTCATTCACTTATAAACATGGTTTTCCCCAAATCAAACACTATGGGGTATCATACCCAAGATTAGCTCTACCTAAAATTTCAGGTAGGCCAGTAGGGTCAAGTCTCTTAATGGGAACAATGTTACAATACCTTACAAGGTAAATAACGGCTATAACCCTTAGGATTATCGGTTAATAGCTAAGTATCATATGAATTTTACACAACTACTAGCTCCTTCACTAAGGGGAACTCCTGCCATATGATCATGCTTATGAGAAAATGCATTTTAAAAATTTATATATATAGTTCACAATTATCCTACATGCTCATCAACTTTGTTGCTCAACAAGCATCAAGAATCATTATATTTCAATCATGCCTCTTGCATCAATTTTATATTATCACATAAATCACATTAGTATCATATAAACATCAACATGCTCATATACAATTCATCACTATGCATAATTCATAATTTATAATCAAGAGTATGCACATCAACACTAACCTTCAATCTCATTACTCAAATCATATCACAATTAATAAGTTCGCAAATTATAGGATCTCAACAAAGCCACAATATGCATTACAAATAACAATTCAAGATTTGGATATATATATATATATCATTTGTTTTACAAATATAAATAATTGATAACATACAAGTGCATAAAATAGATTTCTCCCCTCAAAGGTTGCCCCTAAATCACAATACTTTTAAAGCTTTCCAAAACTTGAATATTGTCAAAAGAAAATTAATCTATAATTAATTATTTTTTTAATATGTCAATAATATTATTAACACAATTTTCACTCATATTCCAACACCTAAATTTTTATTTTATTTTATTTCATTTTTTTAGGACTAAAGTTTCAAAATTTAATTTCATGTATTTGAACCTATCTATTTAGTTCAATAGCTTCTTTCACAACAATTTCATTAAAATTTGGTTAAATTTATTATTCAAATAATTTTTTAATATCAAAATTTTTCTTTTTATTTCAAAAATTCGCACTTAAAAATACCTAAAAATTGTAAATTTGATCTCAAGTCTAGAATCATTATTTTGTAGTCATAATAATTTATTTCTCATCCCAACTAATCATTCAAACATCAACAAATCAATTTATATTTAGATTTAATCAAAAATTTACCTATAGAGATCTAGGGATAAACTCAAAGGCCTCAAATTTCAATTCTATCAACAAAATAATACTCTAGAATATTTATTATACTACTAACAACCTCAACAATCAAATTTACTCATCAAAAATTCATCCCTCTTTCAAACCCTTATTTTTTTTTTTTCAAAATCTCAAAATTTGCAACTCAAGGGAAAATATGACTAAGAAATTAAAACAATTGCCTAGTTTTAGAATACTTAAAATCTCATCTAAAATATCTTATTATAAAACTCTACCTTTTTAATCAGTCTTTTCACTGGCGTCTCATACTTGGTCTCTCCTTGTTCGCGCATGCAGAAGTGAAAAGGAAAAGGGAAGGAAAATGAAGAAAAGATTTGGGATTGGTGTTGCCTTTTTTTTTTTTTTAAAAAGCAGTGGAGCCCACATGTCTTTCTTTCATTCTCACTATTAATATAATAATAATACACACCAAACACACGCACTACAATTTTTGCCCCTCTCCTTCAGGTTTTTTTAATATAATATTCCTTTTCCTTCTTTCTCCTTCTTTCTTCTTCTTGTTTTTTTTAATATCACACACACCCACACACAAACAAAAAATAACCGTCCCCATTCCCTTTCTTATTTTATTTTTTTTATATTCTTTTCTTTTTAATATAATAATAATGATAATAATGATTATATTAATATTTCTATTTTTTAAAAAAGATCATAACTTAGTATTTAGATTTTATTCTAGATTAGATCCAAATAACAATCTCCTAACTAAAATTATTTATATCTAAATATTCTTCCAAAATTATTCATTTGCCTTTGATTAATTTAATTAATCTTGGGTTAAATTTTAAGATGTTACAAATTGATATTAGGTTCTTGAGCTTCGAGAATTGGACTGTGGTTAGTGTGTGACTAGTTATATGATTGTGGACTTATTTTGTGCTTGCATTTGTACATAGAGTTAGCAATTATCATTATACACATATTCTTTTCCTCTGTGGGTTAGCACTAATTGTTTTTAATTTGTGGTATTACTTTTATCCTTAGGAGGGGAGAATATGGTGTAAACCAAGAACACTGTCGCTAATAATTCAACAATTCCACCAAGACTAGAGGATTAGGTGGTGGTAGAAGATGAAACAGCACCAGCTCAAGTCTAACAAGGACAAGTGGTGCTAGAGTTATCGAACCTGATTGAGCAAGTTCAAGTCTTGAATTAAGCACGACCTTCTACTCAAGCTCCAGTTCAAGTTATTCTTGTGACTGGTAATAACAATGATATGACACTCCTTACTTCAATACTAAGGGACATCCAAAAGAGGATGGATGTATATGATCAAGTTATATTGGGAAAGGTTGCTGAGGGAAATAGCAAAGTTGTTGTGAAGGCTATTAGTAACCTCGAGAAGAAGTAAAAGGAAGTAAACTTAGAAGTCAACAATCAACAAGAGGAAGAGTCCTTTAAGGGTTTTGAACAAAGTAATCAAAGCAACTCTATGAGGCAGAGAAAAAGCAAAAATGAGGGCAAAGAGATGCCTTCAAGAGGTTTGCAAGATTGAGCCCGCCATCATTTGAGAGTTCTATGGTAGACCGAGCTAGGGAGAAATGGATTGATAAATTAGAGTCCATTTTTTCTGTGATAACCTGCATTAATGAATAGCGGGTTTGATTGGCTACTTTCAAGCTTAAAGATGCAGCTAAACAATGGTAGGAAAGTGTTAAGCCTATTGATGGATTTGAATTGACCTGGGAGCAATTTAAGAAGAGGTCCTTTGCCTATTACTTCTCGCTAACTGTCAGGGCAGCAAAAGAAGCTGAGTTCCACAACTTGAGATAAGGCAATATGGATGTTGAGGAGTTCATAGACAAATTCAATGAGCTCTCTAAATATTCCTTATACTTGAAGAGTAATGCTGATGAAGAATGGAAGTGTGAGTAGTTCCTAGACAAGATGAGGCTTGAGTATAGCAGGCAACTGACAGCTCACGATATTGATTCATTTGAAGTAATGTGTAACAAGTTTAGTGCTGTTGCTAGAAGAAGCCAGATGAATGATGATAACCGACAAGATGACCAAGGCTGGTATTTCTTTTTTATGGGCCCTGCTGGGGGTGTGAGTAAGAAGTCAAGTTGTAGCTTGGGATTCTCAAAAGGTTATAGTAGAGGTGGAGGAAGCAGTAAGAAGAATTTCTCTGAGGGATCACATTCTAGAGGATCCCAATCCAAAATTTAACCTAAGATTAATTAAGTTAATCAAGGGCAAATGAGTAATTTTGGAGAAATATTTAGATACAAATAATTTTAGTTAGGAGATTATTATTTGAATCTAATCTAAAATAAAATTCAAATCCTGAGTTATGATTTTTTTTAGAAAATAGAAATATTATTATTATCATTATTATTATTAAAAGGAAAAGAAATATAAAATAAAATTAAATAAGAAGGGGAATGAGGATGGTTTATTTTTTTTATGTGTGTGTGTGTGTATGTGTGTGTTTGATATTAAAAACAAACAAAAAAAGAATAAAGGAGGAAGAAGGAAAAGGAATATTATATTAACAAAAAAAAAAACTAAAGGGGAAGGGCAAAAATTTTCATGCGTGTGTTTGGTGTATATTATTATTATTATTATTATTATTATTATTATTATTAGTAGTAGTAGTAGTAATAGTGAGAATGAAAGAAATATGTGTGGGTCCCATTGCTATTTTTTTTAAGCAACACAATCCCAAATCTTTTCTTCATTCCCCTTCCCTTTTCCTTCTCACTTTTGCATGCACGAAAAGGGAGAGACCAAGTGCGAGACACTGGCGACGGGACTAATTAAAGAGGTAGAGCTTAATAATAAGATATTTTGAATGAGATTTCAAGTATTCGAAAACTAAATAAGTGTTTTAAGCATTTTTTTTAGTCATATTTTTTTTTGAGTTGTAGATTTTGAGATTTTGAAAAAAAAACCTAGGGTTTGAAAGATGGATGAATTTTTAATGAGTAAATTTGATTATTGAGGTTGTTGGTAGTATAATAACTATTTTAGAGTATTATTTTGTTGATAGAATCAGAATTTGAGGCCTTTAAGTTTATCGTTAGATATCTATAGATAGATTTTTAGTTAAATCTAAAAATATAAATTGATTTATTAACGTTTAGATGATTATTTGGGATGAGAAATAAATTATTATGGCTATAGAATAATAATTCTAGACTTGAGATCAAGTTTGCAATTTTTGGGTATTTTTAAGTGTGAATTTTTGAAATAAAAAGGAAAATTTTGATATTAAAAAAATTATTTGAATAATAATTTTAGCCAAACTTTAATAAAATTATTGTAAAGGAGGCTATTGAACTAAGTAAATAGGTTTAAATACATGCAATTAAATTTTAAAACTCAAGAGGTTAAGATTAAAGTCTTAAAAAATGAAATGAAATAAAATAAATACTTAAGTGTTGGAATATGAGTGAAAATTGTATTAATAATATTATTCATACATTGGGATATAATTAATTGAAGATTAATTTTCTTTTGACACCATTCAAGTTTTGGAAAGATTTGGAAGTGTTGTAACTTGAGGGGTAAGCTTTGACTTCTTAGAGGTTGAGTTAATCAGGAGAAATCTATTTTATGCACTTGTATGTTAATTAATTATTTATGTTTGTAAAACAAATAAATATGTGTATATATATATCCGAATCTTGAATTGTTGTTTGTAATACATATTGTGGTTTTGTTGAGATCCTATAATTTACGAACTTGTTAATTGTGACATGATTTAAGTAATGAGTTTGAGGGTTAGTGTTGATGTGCATACTCTTGATTATAAATTATGAATTATGTATAGTGATAAATTGTATTTGAGCATGTAGAGTTTTATATGAACTAATATGATTTATGTGATAATATAAAAATTGATGCAAGAGGCATAATTGCAATATAATGAGTCTTGAGGCTTGTTAAGCAAGAAAGTTGATGAGCATGTGGGATAATTGTGAATTATATATATAAGTTTTTGAAATGCATTTTTTCATTAGCATGATCATATGGTGAGATTTTGCCTTAGTGAATGAGCTAACGGTTATGCAAAATCCATATAATAATTGGCTATTAATCGATAATTCTAGGGGTTATAGCCGCTACTTACCTTGTAGGGTATTGTAGCATTGTTCCCATTAAGGGACTTAACCCTACTGGCCTACTTGGAGTTTTAGGTAGAGCTAGTCTTGGGTATGACATCTCATAGTGTGTGATTTGGGGGAAACCGTGTTCATAAGTGAATAAGGTAACCCTGACCCGGTAGCCCCTAATGATATGATTAAGGTTTTGGGCAGTCTCACCACATGGGCGATCCCTTTTAGTTGTTAGCCCACAGATTTCATGTCAGAGGAAATAAAGGGGGATATAAGGAAGAGATTGATCATGCATATCATCATCATCATGCCATTTGAGTGATTGATGGTTATGCTTGAGAATATGATTGTAATTGTGGAAATGAGAACATGTGGTAAATATGTAAATAATGTATATGTGACCATTTATGCCAATTTTGTACGAACAGTTAGTACTTGTGGGCAATCGTGCCAATTTTATACACAATTTTATTCTTGAGATTAGTCACATGAGTTAGACGTTAATATGATTAACATGTTCTTGATATGATTGTCTACAGGGTTATCTTGATGAATTTATTAGTCACTTGCATTCATGATTAATTATCATGCATTTGTATAACTTAGATGAACTTTAGTTACTGAGTGGTTGTACTCACCCTTCTCTTTTAACATATTACAAGAGCTAGCTTATTTGGGAAGAACAGAGGAAAGGAGTATTAGGCCAAGTGATAATAATCATTTCTATAGGCCTTTCTTTTTTTTTTTTAATTTTGATATGTATACTTAGTTAACGATATTACCAACTAGGATAATATATTCTTGATTCACTTGCATTATAAGTTTTGTATTGGGTGAAAAGTATTTTAGGCCCTTACGAAGTTGGTTTGATGCTTGTGTTTATATTAATGGGCCAAAATATTTATGCAAATGAAAATAGTTATTATTTGCTTAATTTGAGAATTTGAATGTTGTTATGGTCTCCCCTTATATTTTTTATATCCAAAGGTGAGTAGTTGATATTAATTATATGTGAATGAAAAGGAAAATTTATACATATGATGAACTATTGATAAATAGATGATATATAGAGTACGATGACTAGGTAATAATCGCTGTGATAAATATAATTGAGATCTTAACCCCTCACTGCCAGTTATGGAAGGATTTGAGTGGACAAGTATTATGTTGTAAGTATATATATATTATGGAGTAAGGTATAGAGAGAAAATAAAGGGGGAAGCTTTTCTCCCATGTTGAGATGTGTTTTCTTTATCATGCTTCTGCATATATTTAATTGAATGATATAAGTTCTTGAAATATTTTAAAGACTTGGGATCCCTTTGTTTTGAATTGTTTGTGAAAATATATATTAAGAATTTGTTTAGGTAATCTCTTATAGGATAATCCTTTTAAGTTAGTTCTTGATTAGTTAGTGTATTGATCTAAGTCTTAATTTAGGACACCCATTATAGGAAGTATGGAAAACAAACGGCACTTCAAACAAGCTGATGCAAATGGACATTTTCTAAAAATTTGATTCATTTGCTGTGGTACAAACCATATTTGCTGTGGTAGATGGCACATAGGGACGAGTCCCTTAGAAGGTATTTGCACCACGACGCATACTTACTGTTATGACAACACTCTAAAATTTCAGAGCATGCCATTTTGCCATCCAACGTTCGATTTGAACAGTTTAAGTGTCTACACGAAACTCTTTTATCCCTCTAGCTAAGGCCATCGGTCTCACTCAAATAATCATCCGTTAAAAAGATGGACACTCAAACAAAAAATGATTCATTTTTACCTCAAAACACTTTCAAAAGGTGTCCATACCACACTACCAAATGCTATTGGCCTTGGAATCACTTTAATAATCTCAAATAGACTACACACAATATGATAAGCCAATCATATCACACAATTAAGCATTGATACTTAGAATGATCACTAAAGCCCTATTTCATAATAGCATAAAGGGGTGGATAAAACTCAATACGCATATTGATTTGGTCATTTTGATGAATAAATCATTTTAAATATATCACTTGTAATTGTATCTTGGCCAAGCATACTCATTTAATCACAATAACAGCAATCTTGGGCTAAGATACATACATTTCACATATTCTTATACATCTAATAACTTATTTACTTGAGTGCATATGCCTTGATAATGACCTCTATTTATAGACATCCAACCATTCAAATCTCATCCTAATGTTGCAAAACTATAAAGAGGCATATCACAGTGTAGCCTATGAAGGTTATAGGTTATTAACAACAAGAAACTCCTTCTACTCCATTCATCAAGATAGTAAGAATAAAAAAATCCAAAGAGTGATGAGTTATACATATCCATAACATTATATTTATAATAATTTTTAAATAGATAGAATTGAATGATAAAATTCAAAATATTCAATTATGAAAATCTAAACTTCATAAATTAAAAAATATTTAATTGATATGGGTTACAATTTTATTTCAAAAAAGTAGAATTAACGAATCTAAAATAAAAATTAGTTTACGTGATATAATTGAAGAATTAGTTTAGATGTATAATGAAAAAAAAGAATATAAATTTTTTGTTATTAAACTTTAAATTATCACAATTATATTTTAAAAATACTGTTTGAATGTATAATGACATAAAAGGAAATTAATTTTATTACATATATTTTGGTGACTCAATTTAATATTTTTAGGAAAAAAATAAACTTATAAATTACGTTTTTTAAAAAAGGGTAGAATAAAAAACATTTCATAGGTGAGGTATTTTTGCAATCTAATCAGCAGTAACTAACTATTAAACATGTATTTTTTATATTAAAATAGTTTCACTTTAAAAATCATATTGTTAATGTGAACACTATATTTTGTTTGTGCCTTTTAAAATATAATAATAATAATAAATTTAATCAAAAAATAAAATTTTAATAATATATAAAAAATAAAAAGATAAAAAAATTAAATAGAGATTGATTTTATTTTATCTTAGATAATTTTATATTGACTAGGATTCTATTTCTTTTAGTTAGTTAGAACAATTGTTTTGAAAATTTAAAAATGAAAAAAATATTCTTTTGTCTTAAATTTTAATAAGCAAGAAAATCTAAGATTAAGAAAATATTTTCTATTCTAGATAATCTTTCTTTTTAAAATTAAAATTTAAAAATGGTAGTTAAAAATAATCTAACAAAATTTTAAAATAAATTAATTAAAAAAATTCTTTCCTTTT